GTGCTTCCCCTTTGCCTTCTGCCATGATTGTAAGTTTCCTGAGGCCTCCCAGAACCCGAGCAGATGCCAGCATCATGCTTCCTATACAGCCTGCAGAACTGGGAGCAAATTAAACCTCTTTTCTTTATCAATTAGCCAGTCTCCAGTATTTCTTCATAACAATGTGAGAATGGACTAATATACTTGTTTCAGCATCAACTCAAAAGTCCAAAGTCCAAAATTACATCTGAAACTCAAGGCACATTCTTTCCAGGTATGAGCTTATAAACTCTAAAACAAGTTGTTTACTTCTAATATACAATGGTTGCACAGGCATTGGGTAAAATTACCATTCAAACATAGGGTCTTGCTCTTTCACCCAGGCTGGACTGCTGTGGTGAGTTCTTGGCTCACTGCAATTTCTGCCACCTGGGCACAAGTGATCCTCATACCTCAGCCTCCCAAGTAGCTGGGACCACAGGCCATGCCACCACACCCAACTAATTTTTGTCTTTTTTTGTAGAGAGAGAGTTTCGCCATGTTGCCCACAGTGGTCTCAAACTCCTGCACTCAAGTGATCCTACCACCTTGGCCTCTCAGAGTGCCTGGATTATAGGCATGAGCCACACCAAGCCCTGGCCAGCAGACTTGAAATCTTAAAACTCCAGAATAATCTCCTTTGGATTGATGTTTTGCATCCTGGGCACACTGGTGCCAGGAGTGGGTTCCCAATGCCTCAGGCATCCCTTTCCCCATGGCTTTGCTGGACATAGCCCAGATGACTGTGCTCACAGGTTGGAATCAAATGCCTGAAGCTTAGCCAGGCTGAGGTCACATGCCACCAGTGATTCTAGCATTTTGGGGTCCTTGCAGTGGCCCTGCCCTTGTAGCTCCACTAGGCATTGTCCTAGTGAAGACTCTTTGCAGAAGACTCCTGTGCTCTGGCCTCACATTTCTGCTTGGCGTTGCCTTAGTAGAGGCTGTCTGTGGTGGCTCTCCCCCATGGCAGGTTTCTATCTAGGCTCCCAGGCTTTCTTTTTTCTTTTCTTTTCTTTTTTTTTTTTTTTT